GAGCCCCCCCCCCAAAAAAAAACCCAACATAATAGAGATCTCTTCCCACCTTGGAGGCCTCCCTGCCTAGGTGACCAGCAAGGCTGAGGGCCCTTTACCACTTTGCTCTGGTAAGAGAAAGACCTACTAAACCAAGGCATTAAATATGAGTCTTGCAGTCTAATACCCCAAACAGCCAGGTTTAATTTTTTTTTTTTTTGGTCTTTTTGAGACAGGGTCTTCCTGTAGCCCCAGGTGGCCTGGAACTCGCTACGTAGACCAGGCTGGCCTCGAACTCAAAGATATCCACCTGCGTCTGCCTCCCGAGTGCTGGGATCAAAGGTGTGAGCCACCATGCCTGGCTGGGTTTAATTTTTTTTAAATCTTCAAGAACCAGGAAAGGCTTGGCGTGATTGGAAGAACAAAAACAAGCATCAATCAGTGCTGACTGACTGAGGCAGCTTAGGGCTGTCCAGAGCTCTGAGGGAGAGAAGCAGCCAGCGAGCTGGGATACAACCCTGGGTTAGCTCACCTAAGGAGCGGGAGGCCCTGGGTTTCAGCCCCATTACCATAAAATAAATAGAAAGCTGTGGGGAGATGGAAGGAGGGAGAATTTAAACAGTATGAGGTGTGCACTTACAACCCCAGCAAATAAAAAAGGATTAAAGCTAAAGCAGTCAGCACCACAGGCTTTAGTGGCCAGCGATAAGCATGGTAAGACTGAAACAGTCCTAGCAGAGAGAGGGTCCTGAGTAGTGATTTCAGACAGGAGAGACCAACTATGGAAGGAAAAACTCTGGGCTCAATAATGGAGGAGAAAAGAAAGGTTTTACCAACTAGAACCATAGAGTCTGGGGTGGGGCTCGGTTGGTAGATCCCCAGCAGTTCTGAGTGTACATAGGGGAATATTTAAGATGATTTAGCTCCATATATGTAAAACAGAAGCACAGGAAGGAATGGTTTGCCTACTATACCAGAATGGGTGAAATGGCCCCATGGACTGCATAGTTATGTGTACAGAGCAATGCCCACAGAAGCCATCCAGGAAGCCTCGCACACATATGTATATAACAGGCTGGGCACAGCTCAGCAGTGCACACTGGCTTAGCACATGCTAGGTCCTGGGCTCTATCAATAGCTTGGCAAGAAATTGGTCCTGGGACAACAGGGCTTGAAGAAAGAAGGGCCTTGTCTTGGGGAGGAAAGCCTGTGAGCATGCTGGTGTATGTGTCTCTGTCTGTCCGTCACTTCTTCAGGGTACCTATGGGTTAGAAGACTCAGCATGACTAAGATGCAAATTCTCTCCAAACTGATCTATGAATTCCAATGCAATCCCTATCACATTGCTTGTTTTTGAGATGTTTTATTTACTGAGATAGGATCTTGATATATAGTCCTGTCTGGCCTGGAATTCCCTATACAGACCAGGTTGGCCTTGATCTCACACAGACCTGCCTGCTTCTGCTCTGTAGTGCTGGGATTAAAGGTGTGGACCACCATGACCAGTTCTGGAACTCTGTAATAGTCTCTGTCTGTTGCAAAAAGCAGCTTCTTTGATGAGGGCTGAAAGGTACTTGTCTGTAAATATGAGGAAGCATATTTAGAAAAAAGTAAGAAATTATGTTGGTCTAGGGATGTGGCAAAAATAGATTTTTCTATAGATCTATGACCTCTCCAGCCATGTGCACCTGACTATGTTTACAGTACCACACACGAGTTCCCTCCCATTGAGCAGCCCTAAGTTCCAATCAGACAGCTGTTGGTTACCTCCAAGATAAAAGTGCCACTACTGCGCAGATAGTGATAATTTGCTGGGCCGGTCATTGTTTTAGATTTCACAACTGGGTGGGACCATTGATTGATTTTCCCCTTCGGCAGCTTGTGTATGTTTGTAAGTGCACCCATGTCACGCAATGCCCAAGGAGGCCAGAAGATTTCAGATCCCCTGGAACTGGAATTACAGAGGGTTGTTAGCTGTCATGTTGGTGCTGAGAACTGAACCCAGGCTGTAAGAGCAGCTGGTGCTTTTAACCACTGAGCCATCTCTCCAGCCCCAGGATCTGCATTTCTTTGGATCAGGGCTGGAGGAGTTGCAGTTGCTTTGACATCACTCTGACCCTGGGCAGAGTGTGTGTGTGTGTGTGTGTATGTGCTGTGTATCCCAGGTCTCCGTAGGCCTTTCCTGTACCAAAGATAGGGAGGAGGTGAGCTCCTTGCTACAGCCTATCAGAGATGGCTGCTGAGGCCCCTCCAGGCGTGGGCAGTTCCTTCTATGGGTTTGGTAGTCCGTTCTCTACCATTCTGACCTGCTAGGCTGTCCCCTGCTGGCTCTGGCCAGAGAGCGCTTCTTTTTCGCCTTTTTTCCTTCCCTTCTTTTTCTCCCCCCTTTGGGGATGAAACCCAGGAACTCAGAAATGCTAGGCAAGTGTTACTCCAACTGAGCCATACCCGACTCCTTTTAAACAAGGTCTGGCCCCAAAGTTGGGGCAATCTTCCTGCCTCAGAAACCAAAGGGCTGAGATTATATGCATGAGTGGCCACGCCTCACTTAGGCCTTCAAGACAGGGTCTCATTATATACCCTGGCTGGCCTTGAACTAGTGGCACTCCAGTCTGTCTAAGACCCTCAAGTACTAGATCACGGTTGCAAACTACCATGCCCAGCTGACAGCAGGCCCGGGATTGGGGCTTTCTGGCTGTGCCCATGGGCACCTCCAGGCTTCCCTCACCCATGCCCTGGACATTGATGGGTAAACAAGAACCAGCAGTTCACATCACATAACCTTCGGCTTTATCTCCATGTCCTCATTTGGTATATGTGCACATACTGTGTGTGTGAAACACCTAGCTCCATTCTCCTAGCAAGGGAGCTGAGGGAGACGTTTTACCTTCTCATAAGCAGAAAGCTCCTGCTTCTAATATACAGCGGAACTGGCTACATAGACCAGGCTGGCACTTGTTTTTCATTGGTTTTCTAGCAGTTTGACTGTGACCGGACCTTGGTATGTAGTCTCATGTTCCCAGAGCTTGGAGTTTGTTTCCTTAGCCTACGAAGTTTGCAAATGAGGCTCCCAACCTTTTTTTAAATTCCAGGTTTGGGGACTCAAAGCAGGGCTTATGTGCACAGTAGGGAAGAACCATTTTTCTCTCAAGCTGGCCCATCCTTTTACCCTGGGACTCCCAAATTACCCATGTAATCCCGTATCTCATTGAGCCTGTTCATTAAAAAAAAAAAAAATCTCATGTGCCCAGGCCAGCTGGGGCAACAGGGAGACTTTGTATCAAAGAGACAATTTCATGTTCCGGAGCTGGAGAGATGGCTCAGCGGTTAAGAGCACTGACTGCTCTTGCAGAGGACCGGGGTTTGATTCCCAGCATCCACAAGGCGGCTATGAACCGTCCTTAACTCCAGTTCCAGGGGAATCCGAAAGCCCTCTTCTGACCTCCAAGGCATTGCACACAGGGGTGCACTCAACATACATGCAGACAATACATTCATGCACATAAAATAAAAAATTTAAAGAAAAAGATTAATAAAAAAAATCTCATGTCCCTTGCAGGCTCTGCACCAATGGTGCGTACTGGGAACCCTCACTTGGTACTTTTTTTTGTCTTTTTGTAGCCCCAGCTGTCCTGAACTATGTAGACCAGGCTGGCCTCAAACTCACAGAGATCCACCTGCCTCTGCCTCCCGGGTGCTGGGACTACAGGTGTGCGCCACCACGCCTGGCTGGTACTATTTCCACAATTTTACACACTTCTCCCTTTACCTTCCCTATTTTTAATTTTATTTTTTATGTGTGCGCGTGTATCATCTGCATATAGGTAAGTGCACCCGTGCCGTGCAGTGCCCACAGAAGTCAGAAGAGGCTGTCAGTTCCCTGGGACCGGAGTTACGGACAGTAGTTAACTGCCATGTGGGTGCTGGGATTCGAACCCGGGTCTTCTGCAAGAACAGCCAGTGTTCCTAACTGCTGAGCCGTCTCTCCAGCCCCGACTTCCCTATTTTTACTAATACTCCTGAGCATCTGGAATGCATATGACCCAGGCTGGCCTCCACTTGCTAGGCCTGCACCCTATGCTGCTGTCTTATTGGGTAGGTTCTGTTGTGGCACAGAACACTATTGGAAACCTTGGTCCTTTAAGGTGTTTGTATTTAACTCTATCAGAATCCTCCTTTCTATTCTCAAGAAGCTTAATTTTCTAGTGTTGTAAGCACATGATATAGGTGTAGGCATCTTTCTGAGCACCCTACTTGCGCTCTATCACTCTTGGAAGTTTTCTAGGATGTGGGGGCACAACATCTTACCCGTGCACAAAAAATGCTGCTGCCTCCTCGGCACAGCTCCCCTTTGGTAGCTGTCCCGAAACTCAGCTAGGCCCCCGACCCCTTTGGTGCTGGCCCTCGCTACCACCTTCTCCACCAAACAGCTTTGCAGGGTCCAGCATGGCTTTACCAGAAGCTCACCCATCAAGGCTGGCTGCCCTTGGGTGCGTACCACATTCAGTGAGGGATCTCTTGACCCCTCACACCCACCCAGCCTCCACTCCCTGTTCACATGTGCTCAGTTCTGCACAGACTAGCCCCTCGCTAGTTTCCAGGGACTTGCTTTTCACACTGACCCAAGCACTACTGGAATTTTCTGTAGAGGGGCTGGCACCCACGGATGACCTGATGCCCTCAGGAGACGTCCCGCCCACGCTGCAGTACCCGTCTCTGGCCAGCCCCTCTGGGTTTCCAGCTTGCAGGCCCCAGAGCTTAACACACTGAAACACACCCATCAGCACACATCTTTTTGGAGTGCTCCATCCCCGGGGACCTGGCCAACCACACCTTATTCTAAGCACCAAGGAGCGCACTGAGAATTCCCTTGGTCAGGTGGTGGTGGAATCTGTGTGGCCCAGGTCAGGGATGGGAGAAATAAACTGTGTAGAGGCCAGCGCTCCTGTGTTTAATTGTGAGGAGGGGGAGAGCATCAAAAACAGCATTTTACCACATTACTGTAAAAACGACACACCATCTAGACAGTTTCTATTTTTTTTTATACTGACAGTTGCAGTAAATTCCAAAACCCAAGCAGCAATGTGAATCTCTTCTTGGAAAACAAATACAAACAGTCAATGCCCGGTGCGGTCCGCAGGGTCGAGGCTGGCCCTACATCATGGGTGCAGCCGGGGTGGGGGTGGGGGGTACTGGGTACCAAGGACTGTGGGCTACAGTGTCTGCTGGGGTCCTGTTCCCTGGGGACCAGTCCTCTCCATACCCGGCCCTGCAGTGGGCAGGGGCAGGTCAAAGGGGGCTCCAGCCAGCAGCCTGTGTATGGTGAGCATGGTGCTCCCCCAGAAGTCTGCCCCAAGATGCAACCCCAGGAGTTCTGGAGCAAGCCCTGGGTGGGGCGGTCTTTCCCACCAATGCAATAAATATGAGAATTTAATGGAGAAACACCAATGTGGCAAATCCCACATTAGAGAAAGCCCAGGTTGGCTCCTGCTGGCCCTCACTGACTTTTCACAGACCAGGGTGTCTCCAAGTCAGTGGCTCTGGGAACCCCACTGGGGTGGCTGGGACACATGATGGTCCTATTTCTAGAAGCCACCAGGGTAAGAGGTGGTGCTGGGCCACTGGGGCAGGAGGTCCCACCAGCAGGACCCTCCCCAGTCCCTGCATGCAGGGCATGGTGGGCGTTGGAGCATCTCTGGTGGCAGGTGTGGAGGATGGCACTGAGGTGGGCAGGGCTTAGCCCTCCCGTACACTCACTCGAGGCTCAGCCAGGGTGCTATGGATGATACTGATGACAGACTCCAGGCCAGTGCCCTCCAGCAAGGTGCGGTGGTCACCCTCAATGATGTGCACAGATACCTTCCCGTCACACACCTGCAGGTGAGGGTGGTGAGTGGGACATGCTCGTCTCACCCCATGACCACCATCAACCACCCTGCCTGTAGTGACCGTTTGCCTGCCCTACTCACCTCAGAGAGGTTGTAGTCAGCACCGAGGTTGTCACCGTAGGTACTACCAGTCTTGGCCCGAAGGAGAGTCACATTGCCATGGTACTTGGCCTTGGGCTTGTACTGCTCAGCTGCACGCAGCTTGTGGTAGAAGGACAGGGCAGCGAAGCCCAGCTCACGGCGGTCCAGGTTGTGGTGGCTCTTGGTGATGAGGTCCACAGCAGCAGCGACCCGTTCCTCCAAGTTCTTCAGTAGCAGCAGGGCCTCTAACACCTGCAGGGAATAGTGCTGAGTGGGTGGGAATGGGGACGGAGGTAACGACAGGATGGGATGGTGCCACAGCCCACCCCTCCCACTGGGGAGATGGGGTTCTGAAAAAGCATCAAGGATCCAGTCCATGTGTCAAAGGTACAAAGACCCCCATTCTCAGCTCTCGGCTTTGCCTTCCTGCCTGCTCTGGGGTGTCTCCTGGCCCACCTGGCTGTATTCTGCATCTGTGAACTGCCGTATGAAGAAGCAGATGGCCTCAGCCTCGGCCTCAGCCTCACAGCCGGGGGTCATCCTCGCACGATAGCTCTGTCGGGAGGAGGGGCTGCTATAGCAAGCACTGATGGAGGTGACCAGAACCCTCCCCTGGAGGCCCAACCAAAGCCAGGGTGCAGAGTAGAGCACTCAGGTCTGCCGGCCCAGCTCTCACCTGGGTGTAGGCCATCACATAGGTATGTGAGCCATCAAACAGGAAGAGGCTATTGTGGGTGGGGGCTGGGCCCTGCTGGGCCTGCAGCTGGGAACACATCTCAAAGGCCACACAGGCCCCAAAGGAGTAGCCTGCCACACGGTAGGGCCCCTCAGGCTGCACCTGCTTGATGCAGTCAATGTAGTAGGCAGCCAGATTAGAGATACTGTCCAGAGGTGCCGCTGTAATGAGAGAAGAGGGCTCAGCAAGGTGCCTAGGATGAGGCAGCAAGCACCACTTCATGCATATGCCCAGGTACCTTGGGTACACTGCAGACCATAGGTGGGCACACTGAGCTTAGCGGCCAGGCTCTGGAACACGGTGGTAGAGCCCTCAATGGGATGCACCAGGAACAGAGGCCGCTCAGAGCTCTGCACTGAATTGAGCCGTGTCAGGGTAGGGCCCTCCGGGTTCACCAGCAGGGTGCTCAGGTTCAGCTGTGCCTGCTTCGGGGCCATGTTGTTGGGCTTGGGGGCTGTCCGCTCTGTGAGGACAGACATGCTAGGCTAGCCTGGGCACATGGGCTCTGTGGTATGCACACATATACTAAGCACCTGGCTAGAGCACTGACCCCAAGTGCTCTACAAGGGGACAGTGTCACTGATTCCGATGCTGGACGTCCTACTAGGACACATCAGGACCCTCCCCAGCCTGCTGCTCGGTACGCACCACTGGCAGTGCCACTCTTGGAGGACAGTTCCTGTAGCTTCTTCAGCGTGAGCTGCCGCACCTCACGCATGGGCAGCACCAAATCATGTTCACGTTCCAGGATCTGTCGTACCTCCACGCCCATGAGCGAGTCCAGGCCCAGGTCTGCCAGCGAGCTGTCCAGGTTGACACCTGCCAGGTCGCGGATGCCTGCCACGGTGGTTAACTGGTCATTGTTTAGGAGGGGATGTACGGGAGGAAGGTACCAGCGGAGGCTGGGAATGCTGGGCCCAGGACAGGTCCATGAATTTCCCCAAACACCATCTCTACAGTCACAGCACCCACAAGCATCACTGCCAACCACCCTGCCCAGTACCCACCCCAGCACTCTGACTACACAACCCTCATGTCTTGGCTTAGAGAGTAGACTCACCCAGGATATGTGCTACGGCCTTCACCAGATCCCGCTGGGCTTCACCATCACCACGAGTCATAGCCTTCTCAGCCAGCACAAAGCTACTCATGACCGCATAAGGCCGATTCAGGAAGAGGTCCAGCACCTCCATGCAAGAGGTGATCCGCTGTGGCAGCGTGCCACCAATGACAGTGTCATTGGTGCCCATGGCTTCCAGAACGATACCCACATCACCGATGGCACCCCACTGCACGGCGAGGCCTGTGGGCAAGGGAGTCAGTGGGCAGGGTGCTTTGCGGAGTAAGGAGGGCGTGAAACCATGGGTGGGGTGGGCTGAGCAGAGGCCCACCTGGAAGGCCATCGTGCCGGCGCTGCTCGCATATGCGCTCCATGGCAGAGTTGGCGAAGCCATAGTTGGCTTGTCCAGCATTACCACGCCCACAGCTCACAGAAGAGAAGGCCACGAAGTAGTCCAGCTCGGGGCAGGCTTCCCGGGTCACCCTGTGGATGTGTGTGTCACTCTCTGACAGCCAGCATGCCCAGAACCGCCCCAGGGCAGTCTAGAGAAGGCCACAAGTGGCTCACCCTTGCCTTGCCAGACCCGCGGATCCAGCAGAAACCAGAATAGGTGGGACCATGCAGAAAGGCTGCATGCATGAGGGAGGGGGGTTGCTGCCCACCTGTCAAGGTTCACAGTGCCGCTATATTTGGGCTTGCTAACGTCCTGGAAGAGCTCCGGAGTCTGATTCTCCAGCATGGCGTCTCTCAAGACCTGGGAGGAGGTATTTTGGCACTTGCTGCAGTTGGGGCCCCACCCCACACAAGTGGGCTACCCATGGTCTCAGGCTTTGGAGGTACCCAGGGCCCGAGATGCTTCTCACCATGGCTAGGTTGAAGACACCTCCGACAGGTCCAAGCTGTGTGGCTTCAGTGATGAGGGCACGGGCCCCCTCCAGTGAGCTGACATTGCTGGTTGACACTAGCACGTGTATGCCCTGGCGCCTCCACTCTCGGACCTGCTTGGCTTGGTAGCCTGTGGGACACAGGGCTATGAGGCTGGGCCGGAGGAAGAGGAGAGGCTGCAGGCCTTCCACAGCAGAGAGGCCTGCACCACCACCTGCCCCAGGTGCTCTTGCTTGCTTACCTGTGCGTATTCCAGATCGGGAAGTCAGCACAAGCCTCTGGGCCCCCCGCAGCACAAGCCACCGGGCTAGCTCCAGGCCAAAGCCACCCAGGCCACCAGTGATGATGTAACTCTTGTGGGCTGGGCAGAAGGTCTTGGAGATAGCAGAAATCAGGGTGGGCTGAGCCCCAGGCAGCACAGCCTCCTGTTCCTCCTCACGCACCTGTAGGCAGGCAGCAGTGCCTCAGAAGCTACCTGAGGGCTGGCAAGATGCTCAGCAGGTAAAGGTGTTTGCAGCCAAGCCTGATGCCCTGAGTTAACCCCTGAAATGCACCGGAAGGAATCGACCCCCTGTGTGAGCTGTCTCCTGACCTCCACACATGCACTGGCAGGCACACCCACCAAATGTCTTTTTAAAAAGCTGCTCAAGCCACAGCCAAGGCGGGTGCCTGAGGCCCTCCCTCACCTGGATGAGGACTTTGCCGATGTGCTTCCCCTGAGCCATGTAGCGGAAGGCATCCTCCACCTGGGCCTTTGGAAACACCGTGCACTTGAGGGGCTTCACAACCCCATCACGGATGCCAGCCTGCAGCAGTGCCGCCACCTCCTGCCAGCTGGAGTTGGCCTCCTCAAAGAGCGCGTCCAGGAGGATCCCATGGAAAGTGATGTTCTTCAGGAAGATGGCCATGCCTGGGTTTGAGGGCCATGCTCAGACAGACACTCCAGCCCTCAAGCCTAGCCCCACACCTACCCCCAGGGCTACTGGCCATACCCAGCGGGTGGTTGTTAGAAAGGTCAAATTTGCCAATCTCCAGGAAGCGGCCATGCTGAGCCAGGCACCTCACACTGGCTTGCAGCTTCTCTTCTGCCAGTGAGTTGAGGACCAGGTCAACCCCTGTGGTGGGAAACGGGTCCTTTGGTCATGTCGCGTAGCCCACACTTCAGTCCAGAGGGCCAGACTGGCTACCTGACCCGACCCTCAGGCTGTGGCCCCAGCCTAAGGAGGCTGGGCACTTACCCTTGCCACCCGTGTGCCGCAACACATGCTGCTCGAAAGATGTGTCTCGAGAATTGGCGAAGCTGGTGTCATCAAGCTGGGGAAACCTGGCCTGGAGGTATGCCCGCTTCTCAGCCGAGCCTGTCAGAGGAGGGGCCCTGGTGAGCTTGGAGCATGGGGTTCAGGAAGGCCTGAGGGCTAGGGAGGGGAAGGACCTTACCCACAGTGGTGAAGACACGGCAGCCCAGGCTGAGGGCAATGACGATCGCTGCCTGGCCCACACCGCCTGAGCCCGAGTGGATGAGCACCGTCTCCCCACGCCGTACACGCCCACGCACCACTAATGAGTAGTAGGCAGTGGTGTAGACAACGGGCACAGAGGCTGCCTCCTCCAGGGTCCTGAGGGCAGAGCACAGATCAGCTCACCCGAGCCACCATCGAAGGCCGCACCTGCAGCCGTCCACCTGCAGACTCCCCACCGGCAGCCGTCCACTCACCAGCTGGAGGGCACTTCCCAGAGGAAGTTCGGTGACAGCAGGACCGAGGTGGCCAGGCCTTCTGCGGGCACCAGTCCCATCACCCGCCGGCCACAGCTGTCTCGGCCCGAGAACTCCATGCCCAGCATGCAGTTCCGGGCAGCCCATTTCCCTGTGGATGGGCAGAGTGAGTCTCAGGTCAGTACTGCTGCCCCCCTCCCCAGGACAGGCTGTTTGGGGTGCAGGCTCCAGGGCTGCGTTAACACACCCTTCCCCAAAGCCTGGCGTCTTCCTCGCACGTGGGTTGCCGCAGCGCACGTGCTGCTCAGTACCCTAGTCGCCCAGTCACAGCAAGACCCTATCCTGGCTGGTACCTGGGATGGCATCAGGGGACAGTTTGCCCGTGGCCAGCATGATGTCTCGGAAGTTGAGTGAGGCATAGTAGACTGTGCAGAGCTGTGTTCCTGGACTGGTGGGCTGGGCATGTCTCAGGGGAGAGCAGACCCAGCGGATGGAAGCAAGGTCCCCCCGGGTGAGGACATTTACGAAGGCATGTGCTGTCTGCTCCTCAGGCTTGTCTGGGGGCAACAGGAAGCAAAGCTGCCACGGGGCTGACCTGGCCAGGCTCTCAGTTCCCCACCTCCTCCTCCCTGACCTCCTCCTCAGCCCAGCAGGGGTGGGGCAGCAGTGGGCTCACCCTGCTCCAGCAGGAAGTGGCGGAAGGCACCCCAGACCCCATCACGGTACACGTTCATCACCAGGTCACTCTTCAGCACCTTCTGTAGCTCTGCAGAGCCAGGGTCCAGCTTGGGGAGGCGAGATGCACGGCTCAGGTTGGACAACAGGATACACCTGTGGGGGCGAAACGGCATGAGGAGGACCGAAGTGCAGCGAAGGGAGGCAGGCAGGGCAGGTGTCGAGTCTCTCCTACCGAATCCGGTGCCCACCAGGCTCTTTGCGGAGACAGTTTACCAAACCCACCACACCCGAGGTGGGGCAGTCCATGGCCGTTAGCCACACAGGCTGAGAGGACGATGTGGCCAGAATGCTCTGCAAGGCAAAGAAAGGTCAGGTCAGGTCGGCCTCTAGGAGGGTCTCAGACCAGGGCAGGGCAAGTACCTGGCCCCAGGGCCTTACCTTCAGAGAGTCCACCCATTGGAAGCTGGTGTCCTCCACGGGCAGGAAGATGGGGCTGTCCTGTGGGGTGGCTCGGCGGCACAGGAAGAGCACAGTGCCATAGAATGACTTCTTCAGGCCCACCAGGTGCATTGCTGTCCTTGAGAACAGACCTTCCCACTCTTCCTACATGTATGGGGTCTTATAAGTACCCAGCCAGCTCAGCCACACCCGGCCCTCACACCAGCCCTGTGTGCCCAGCAGCAGTACCTGACTCAGGAGGTTGGGACCCAGATGTGCCTCAGAAGGGAGGGAGGCTAGGGTCTCCCCAAGGACATGCCCTCTGAGCACTGTGTGGAGCAGCAAGAAACCGCCCTCCTTGAGGGCTGCTACCATGTTGCCTAGGGCCAAGGCTGGGTCCCCCAGGGCGACCACGGCACAGTTGCCCACGAGGAGGTCAAGGCCACCCAGGTTGCTAGGGGCAGGATCCATAGGGTCCCACTGGCTCCAGGCAACGTCATGCTGCTGCTGCAGCTTGGTTTGGGCCTCTTCCAGGGCATGGGTGCTCCGGTCAGTGGCTGTGTAGTCCAGCTGTAGCATGGGCTGGGTGTTGAGCAGTGCCGGAATTCGGGAATACAGGTGACCCTGGCCAGCCAGCACCTAGGGTAGAGGACCATCTTAGATCTGCCCACAGCACATTTAACCTGGAACTAGGTGAACAGCCCCGAACACGAACCCCTTTCTTTCAGTGCAAGGTTGCCTGCTCTATTCCCACTCTGTCAGTGGTGGCCTAGCTCAGAGCCTAGGGGACCCCAGGACTCCTTCACTTCCCCGCTCTGGTAACTTGCCCCCAGGGCTGGTAAGGGTGAATCATCCCAGGATCTTTTAAGGTGAAGGAGCACAGCACAAGGACCAGAGAAAGCCGCTAAGCGCGACTGCCTGCTTTGGGTTCAGGTCTCAGACAGCCGAGCCCACGCACACGGTCAGTCTACCTTTTCATCACCCACCTCTACCACCTTCATCTTGAGGCTGGACAAGTTCTCCAAGGCTGTGTCCACACAGGCCTTGAGCGCCTGGGAGTCGAGGAGGCCAACGATCAGGGGGTCCTCCGGCAGCAGGGCTCTCTCTTGCGCCAGGGCCTCACTCAGTTCCAGCTGCATGTTCCCATTGAGCTGCAGCTGGCGAGCGGCTGCCAACAGCTGAGGCAGCCCCTGTTTGGGAGGGTCCTCTAGTCCAGGCACCGTCATCTTCAGCCCTTGCTGGGTCGCCTTGGTCCGCAGAGCCTGTGCCAACCCTGGGAGGGGAGCTAGGGCTATGGTCGCTGAGGCCTCCAGCCCTTCCTAGGGCCCCTCCCCAGCCTGTCCACAGGATGAGCTGATAGCTAAAAGAAACAGGAACTGGAAGAAGGGAGGCAGCAGCCAGGGTGAGCCCACCGAGGTGGGTTCTGCCCCTCCTACGCCAGACTTCCATAGTAACGGGCTTGGCATGCTGGAGAGGCCTGGTCTGATGCCTCAGAGACGCAGGCTAAGAGAAGCGGTGCCAGCACAGAGGCAAGGTAGGGTCCCCAGGAGGACTGTCTCACCCTTGCACAGCTGCAGCTCTCCACGCAGGGTGGTGCTTCCAGACAGGCACTCAGTCTCCATGTGGGGTGTGAAGATGAACTTCTCCAGGATGGGAACCAGCTGTTCCTGCTGCCGCCGTGGGGCTGCTGTCGTGTGTATTCTTGAGATGTGGACACCACCAGACACGGTGCATCCCAGGCAAAAGCTTGTCGTCACATCAGCCACTATAGAGTCACACTGGTTAGCATGGGTAATGCCCAGCGAGGAACAGGTACACAAGGCCAGGCCCAGAGCTACCTTGAGTCTCCCCCTCCAGCGAGTACACTTTCTGTAGGTGGGTCACGGGGTCAATATGGATGGATGACACACGGGTGGGTAGGCGCAGGCTCTGCTGACCGACACCCAGAATGGACATCTGCAGCATCGTGTCCAGGAAGGTAACCCAATTGCTTTTCCAGAGCAGCGTGCCCGATTCACCTGCAGCAGAGGCTGGTCAGTACTCTGGTCTCACCTGTCCCAGGGACTCCACTCCCTCTGGGCTAATGGCCCAGCAGACGAAGCTAACCCACGGAAGTCACATTTAACGACTCTGGGGTGCTCTTGCCCACCTCCAAGGCTGGCCTCGAAGATGCCCTGGAAGTGAGGGCCATAATCATAGCCCCGCAGTCGCAACTCCTTATACACGTCTGCCTGGGTCAGGTGGGAGGCAGGCATAGACTCTGGGGGGCTCAAGTCTTCTGGGTGGTTGAAGAACTCGGAGTTGGGGTCTTCCCAGTGGTACACGTTCCCTACGGGCAGGAAGCAGCAGGAGGGCCTCAGCACGGGGCAGGCCAGGTGGAGCTGAGGCCCCCAGCCTGCATGAACGTCCAGCTCCCACTCACCACTCACTATGAGGTTGCCATTCTCAGACACTTCAAAGGCACGGGAGGCCTCCAGCAGCCGCACCTCCAAAGGTACAGTCCCTATGGAGCAGGAAGGTCAGAACAGAATTGTCACCAGGCCTACCCACCCACTACTGAGGGTACCCTCACCTGTCTGGGGCAGTATGGTGGCCTGATGCAGCGTTACATCCTCAAACACCACAGGCGTTTCCTCTAGGGACAAGCCCAGGTTGCGGGCCAATGTCCTCCACACCAGGCACAGGTAGCCAGTGGCAGGGAAGATGACCCGGCCATCGATGCAGTGGTCTACCAGGTAGTGGTCAGGAGACTCAGGACTGGCATCTGCGAGAAACACGTCTTACTGCTAGCCTACCTGCCTGGGAAGGAAGGTGCCTGCTATGACGCCTGGCTCACCAATGTTATAGACTGTGGCCGAAGAGGAGCTGGAGCCATTAGGGAAGTGTTCAGCAGCTGGAACATCCCAGGTTTGACTGTGGTCCCACTTGATATGGGGGGAGATGAGAGGGGTCCCTCGGGGAGCCGGGAATTCCACGGGTGGGAATAAGATGTTAGGGTTGATATCAATGCTGGTAGAGAAGGAGGAAAGTGTCACACCTGGCCAAGGGGTCTCTGAAACACCTGCCCATCTCCGTCTCCCCTAAGACCCCAAGATGGCCAAGGTGGGCTGAAGGGCAGCCTGATACCCACAGCCATTTGCACTTGTAATACCAGTCCCACTCATGGGGGAAGGCATGGGCTCCTGGGGCAGCCTCATGGTGGAGGGACACCTACCCTGTGAGGTACACCTTGCCAAGGTTGGTGAGAAAGAACTCCAGGTTGTCCTTATGGTCCCTCTTCATCAAGGGGATGATGGTGCAGCTGGAGTTCACACCCCGCTTCAGGACGGCCTATACAGGACACAGAAGGACAGAACTCTGACCTCCTCCCACACCACACCCACCCTTGCTAGTGACTAGCAGGCTGTTGTGCCCCAGCCAACTCCGTTCTCACCTGCAGCAGCGCATGGGGTGCAATCTCCAGTACCACAGCATGCTCTGGGATATGCCACAGTGCTTCCTGGAAGAGCACAGGGCTCACCAGGTTGTTCACATTGTACTCAGCAGAGGATGTGCGGGCTAGGCTGCTCTGCCACTGGGCCTCAGGGATGGAGGTGCTAAGCCAGCGGGCTGAGCGTGGCCGTGGCTCCTTGATCACCTGCACAAAGGAGGTGGATGAGCAAGGTGACTCGAGTTGTCCCTTGGATCCAGTATGCAGCAGCCCGGGACCCACCTTCTTGAGGGCCTGCAGCAGCGTGGGGGCGATGCCTTCCATGAAGTAGGAGTGGAAGGCAAGGCCACCTGTCCGCACCTCCTTGGCAAACACACCTTCCTGCTTCAACTGCTCCACAAACTTGCTTACTGCAGCCTGCAGGTGGCAAGACCAGGGGTCAGAGGTCTGGACTGGGTTAGGCACTGCCCTACACAGTCCACCCAGCTCAGGTCTCACCAACTGGACCCTTGAGAGCTTGGTGGGCACAGACTGAGGCCTTGCCTCTCAGGCAGAGCCAGAGTAAAACACAGGAAAGAAGTTTGCAGGGCTCACCTGAGGCCCCGAGATGGTCACTGTGTCCTCAGAGTTGTGGCAGGCAGGGACTACTCCAGAGGGACAGCGCTGTTTACATTCCTCCCAGGACAAGCCTGCAAACAGAGTGGCTGGTCTCACAGCAGCACAAGCCCCACCCACCCACCCTCCCCTGCCTGACCAGGGAGGTGCTGCCATGGATACCACCTAGGACAGGCGTGTAGGTGGGATGGCAGACAGCATGACAACATGACAGCTGGCCTTCCAAGGCACTTTCACCCCCTGTTGCATCTGATCTCAAGTGGAGATGTCATTACGGAGGAGGTGTAGGCAGGGAGCCAAGTCTCGCCTCAGAAACAACACCTGAAGGGTTGGGCCGTGGACTCCTGGGGTGGGTAAGCGTGCTCCCCATATTCCTGCATGTGGGGGGTTTTCATACCCTGCTGGTTTAGCTCAGGTCCATGGGCTCAGCAGAGTTGGGGCCTCCTACACAGGTACTGAGCAGTGACCCTCCCCTGCAGCACTTCCTCAAGGGCAGACAGCTCTCTTGAAGGCACCAGGACAAACGCCCTCCCAGGGAGAAATCCTGGTACCGACTGAGGAAGTGTGACGCCCCTGCAGCACTTCCTCAAGGGCAGACAGCTCTCTTGAAGGCACCAGGACAGAAACGCCCTCCCAGGGAGAAATCCTGGTACCGACTGAGGAAGTGTGACAGGGGCTCTGAGGAAATGCCTACCAACAGCTGCCATGGAGCCGGGCGGAAGGTGAGCGTCCTTGATGCACTGGCCTCTCCAGTAGGCTGCAAGCACAGCCTCCCTCTGTGAGAGACAGCCATCGGCATAGCCGCAGGCAACCTCTCCCAGGGAATGCCCAATGATGCCGTCAGGTTTCAGGCCCACGGAGGTCAGCAGGTCTATGAGGGCGATCTGAGGGTGTGGGTAGGACACAGACCATGGTACAAGACTCTGGGACTGCTAGGAGGTCTCAGAGTACCACTAGCAGCCACCACACACAGGTAGCTTCCAGGCCCAGCACACCCAGCATGTTAGGCCTCTCTGGGGGACTCCTGGGACGCCCTTCCCTTCTCCAGAAAGGGAAAATGTTGGAGGTTGTACACCTTCTGGCATACAGCATGGCCCCTAGTGACTGTAACTCCTTGTTCTTGGGCAAGTTAAGACCTTGACAATGAGTGTCTTGGGACCCAGTACCAGGTGACCTACCTGGATGGCGGTGAGGCTCACAAAGGCATGCACGATGTCATCAAAGGTGCTCTCATCTGTGCTCAGCAGCAAGTCTGACACTTTCACTCCCAAGGGCTTCACAGCCTCATCAGAGCGCAGGATGGAGTCTCGGAAGCTGTCCAGGCGCATGAGGCTTAGCCCCATCCCGCGCCACTGGGTGCCCATCCCTGTCCCAGAGAGCTTATCAGGGCCACAGCATGACCATCTGTCAGCCTGACCCTCAAAAAAAGGGACACTCTCCCCACCCCCCTTGAGGGCCAGCCTGGGAGCGCACGGTGGAGTGGGTGGGGCTCACCCGAGCAGATGAACCAGAGCGGGCGCTTGGTGGCAGACACCTGCTGCACTTCCTGGGCACCTCCCTCCACGCCGAGCACAGTGTAACCCCTGAAGGGCATGGCGGCTGTAGGGATGGCTGCGATGTTATTGAGCATGCTCACGAAGGCCAAATCCTGGCTGTGTCGGCAGCCCTGCTCCAGCAGGCCCTGCACAGCCTCTACAGTGCGTCCACTAGCCTGCAGCAAATGAGGCAGGGCAGCATGGGGGGCAGGTGCAGGCGGCTGCTGCGTGTGGGGCTGGAGGATGACGTGCACATTGGAACCTCCAAAACCAAAGGAGTTGATGCCCACGATGCCACCACGAACAGGCAGGGGTCTGTCTACCACCTGTAGTCGCCCGTCGAAAAGGGCTGGAATCGCAGGGTTGGGGTTATGGAAATGCAGGTTGGGGGCCCAAACCCCGTGTTCCAAGGACAACAGCACCTACAGCCAGAACACATGGTTAGTAGGCAGCTGAGTCCAGCAATGTGTGGCCACTGACCTCCCTAGGGCCCACATGACCATCCAGCGACCTGTTGCTCTCACACTGGCCCATGTGTTGTGGTGCTGGGCACAACACCCTTGCCTTCTCCACCTTGTGCCCTCACTGGTCTCCTGTTTCAGCCAGTGTATAGAGTTACCAAGTTGAGGGGCTGTAGGACTGGACACAAACCCCTCAGCCAGGCCTACGTCCAAGAATCCAGAAGCCTAGGGAGATGGGTCTTCAAGACCACCATGTAGATTCCCGCAATGCAGGGATAGGCTGAAGGTCCCTACAAATGGATGGGCAGGTGTGTAGGGCACCCAGCAGGAGGGCACACCAGAGCAGATGCTGGCCCACTGTCCCCTTCTCAGCCTTGAACCAGGCACTCTGCAGGACCTGTCTGCTTAGACACTTCCTCAGAACTGTCCCCATCCTCTCTGCAGTCAAGTTTCTTCTGGCCAGGAGCTTTGTAACAGTTCAGAACAAGGAGCCACAGAGAAGCGCCCCCCGAGTCCAGGCCCCTCTCTCCCTGCCATCTCAGCCAGGGCACAGCCACAGGGCTCGAAAAGGTGGTGATCATAGCACATAGCTATCCAAGCAATAGGGAGGAGGGGCCTTTGACTCCCAGAGCCCAGTCTACTCACCTTGATCAGGGCTGCAAGCCCTGAGGCAGGCTCAGGGTGTCCCATGTTGGATTTGGTGGACCCAATCAACAGAGGGTCCTGGCGGGAGGCACACAGGGCTCGAACAATGCCGTTCAGTTCCTGGGGGTCACCCACCTACGGGGAACGGAGCAATGTCAAGGGTGTAGCCAGGAGCCTCTCTAGTGAGTGCATATCAGTCACGGAGTATGATCCAGGAAGGGCTTTCACCTTGGTGCCTGTGCCATGGGCCTCAATGTATTCAAGAGACTCAGGGGCTAGTCCAGCTGGCTGATACAGGGAATGGATGAGCTGTTCCTGGACTTCTCCCGAGGGAAAGGTCACGCCTAGGACAGAGGGTAGTGGTGTGGAGCCAGGCCTCACACAGCACCTTCCCGAGCCTTCTTGTCCCCGATACCCTCCTAGTCTCTGCACTCACCTTGTTCCTTGCAGCCATCTGTGTTGGTGCCAGCATTTAGTATAGTGGCATAGACCCTCTGGGCCAGGGACTTCTTTGTCAGCAGAACAACCACCACAGCCTCAGAGCGGCAATACCCATCCCCTAGGGCAGATCAGCAGCTCAGCCAGGGCTCCGTCTAATTCAGGCCCTGCCAGGTGCTCTGGGATAACTGGGAAGGCTGGACTACTTAGCATTAGCCAAGATGCTATCTATTCTGGGGATAGGACGTGGGAGCTGGTGGGATCCTGCAAAGTGGCCCCAAAGGACCCCCAACCCCACCAGGCCACCCTACTACCCTTCCTTACCTGAGTTGTCAAAGGACTTGCAGGTCCCCCCAGGGCTAAGCATGCCCAACTTCATGAACTGCACTGAGGTGTTGGGCTTCAGCAGCACGTTGATGCCACCCACGAGGGCAGCGGGGCATTCCCCACTGCGGATGGCCTGGTAGGCATTCTGTAGTGCCAGCAGGCTAGAAGAGCAGGCTGTGTCTAGGGCAAGGCTGGGCCCTGTGAGAAGGAACATGGAGCACGTGTGGGTGCCCCAGGGCAGACACCAGCCTGTGCTGGCCTTGAGCACCCCAATGGCCTGCCTCAGGAACAGGAAGTCTGAAAGGTCACCTAGGTGGACATACATGCTGGTGCCACCCACCAGGGCGGCGAAGAAGCCTACCTTTGAAGTCGAAGAAGAAGGAGAGCCGGTTGGCCATCATTGCCCGCTGGCAGCCCACCATGCTGTAGCCCAGGAGGGTCTCCGGGTCCCTGCTCAGTGCCTCTGATGCCTCGGAGCCACTCACACCCACCCAGACACCAGTGTGTGTCCCTCGGAGCGAGGCTGGATTGATGCCTGCCAGGGGAGGGCAGTTAAGGTCCAGTTCTGGGGGTGGAGCCTCAGCTCTGGGCCTCACAAGCTTGTGAGGTGAGAGGGGCGCCCCTATGGCCTGGGTCAGGTGGCACCCATAAGAGGCCATAGGAAGGACAGAGGACAGCATTGTCCCCAGGCAACTCCCTTGGCCCCTGGTGTCACTGGTGGGTCTCAAGAGCCTGCTGGCCAATGAGCTCTCCAGTGCCAAGGGCAGACTGCCCTGAGACAGGCAAGATAAGGAGCTACTGGGAGACAAAGGCCAAGTGTCCGAGCTGGGAAAGCAAAGGAGGGCAGTGGTAGTAGCCCCCAGGGAGCTGTGCCCAATGCCTGTGACAGGTCTTGGGCAGTTCGATAGGCTTACAGCAAGGACCTCCATCTTCACCTCCACCTTCACCATGGAGGCTACCAGGGTCCTGTCCCCCATCTTATACTGCACGCCGGGTTGGAATGTGTATGATTCCCTATCAAGCCAGACTGCATGGAAGCCCAGGGCTAGCTAACATCTGCCAACCAGAAGCACGCCCGCACCACCCCACACTGGCTAACTGTGTGGCCTTCCACCCCCAAGGGAGGGACAGGTTTGGGCCTCAATTAGTAGGACTCAGGAACAGGAGACAGCGGGATAGGGCTGTCACCAAACCAAGAGGCCGAGCCCCTGCAGAGCCACCTGCTATTAACCCCACCCTCAACCTCAAGACCAGCCAGACCCGAGTGAGGAAACTGGGGTAACAGGGCGCGCCTGGGACACTGCTAGTGTACAGTTGTGAAACCATGACCTGCCCAGAGCCCCTGCCTCCTAAGCCATTGGCCCTAGGTCAGGGCTGGGGACAGGGCCAGGAGGCCTATGCCATGCCTTCCTCAGTTCCTGATATCTCCAAGCCAAAAAGACACCACTACCACTGCATTTCCTTTCCTTTTTCAGTGCTGGGAAGGAACCCAGAGCCTTGTGCACACTGGACAAGTGCTCTACTACCGAACTATGTCTCAGCCCTTGTCACGGTCACCTAGAAAGGCCAACAATAACCCCATGACTCACCTCCATCCACAATGGCCTCATAGCTGACTTCCAAGAGCAGCCGGAGCTGGGGGTCCATTGTGTGTGCCTGTTTGGGGTGGACGCCGAAGAAGGAGGCGTCGAACTTAGACAGGTCCTTCAGCTTGCCAGACCGCTTCGGAAGCCCATAGAGCCCTGTAGGAAGGGCAGACGGTTTCTTCTCTGAGAGAGGAACCTAAGGGGCGCCACAGGCCCCTGAAGCCAGGGAACCAAGACGCCCGTCTTCTTGGGGAAGACTCTCAGGTAGGGGTGGATGGCAACTCCAGCCTCACAAGGGTCCCAAAACACTCATGGGGGCAGGTCCCAGAAACTTGCTGGGGTGAGGCTGGTGGGGACTACCCATTGCTCACCCTGACCTGACTAGGAGACCCTCTGCCTGGTTTGAGGCTGGTAAGGCCAGCCCCACCATGCTGACTCACACTTGTCCATCAGGTAGAGCCACTCTGTGGCTCTGCAGAAGAACTCACTGGGTGTGAGAATCAAACCAGCATCTTGGAGCACTGTCTGCCTGGTGGGGAACAGGCTGGAGATGGGACACCAGAAGGGCCAGGCCCCCTGCCTCTGCCCAGCTCCTCCACGGCAGGACCTAAGCAAGTAACCTGTCCTTTTGGCTATGGCTAACTCTGTCCTCAAAGCTGCACAGGGAGCCTACTGGGCACTACCTCCAGGACATGCTGTGGGCACAGCCTCTCAAATAGCCCCTGTTGCCTGGTCCTAAGGGGCCACTCACCTGCCTTCCATCTCCGGTCATCATCTGTGACCATGTCCACACCACCGATGAGGTTGTCCCAGAACTCCTGCAGGTTCTCTGACTCGGGCAGCTTCCCGGACATGCCAGCAATCACCACCTCCTCCATGGCTCTTATCTGCAGGAAGGAGAGCAGGATGGGCCCCACACTCCTTCCCAGCTACAGCAACAGTGCCCGCAATTTGGCCACCGTTCCTCATCTGGTCAAGATAGGCCCTGATCCACAGGTGCCTGAGTGCCCTGCCCTGACTATTGAGAGCGAGGGCTCTGAAATCAGCCCTTTGCAGAAACCAACAAGATCTAGGGTCCAGTCATTACAGGATGGCTGGGTGCTCAGGCCTTAGCATTGGCCAGCCAGCCACCTCTGGGGCTCTGATCCCTTCCTTCTGTCTTAGTGAGTTAGGATGACTAGGTGCCTTGCCAGAGCCACCTGGGACAATGCGACCTCTAGCAGTCGGGTTCCATCCTAGGTCAAATCAGGAACTTGTATTTAAAAAAAAAAAAAAAAAAAAAAAAAAGGCGGGGCTCCAAGAATCCGGGTCTGGGGCCGTGGAAACCATGCTCAACTCAAGCCACAGGGAACATGGGTTGGTAAGGACCCAAAGCGAACAGGCCTGAGTACAGTAGGTGCCGACGGAAACATGGTCCCTGCCAATGGCCCCTCCCAGCAGGACTCAACCTGGACCACCACTCCGGCTGGTGCGGGGCAGGTGAGACCTCGGGCGACCTGCCTGACTCCCTGCAATCCGGCCGCGAGCAGCAGCGGGCTCTGCTCGATCTTCAGGTCCCTGAGCACCGGCCCGGCACAGCCCAGGCCTCGGGCCCTGGGTCCAGCGTGCAGGCGCCCGCGCCAGGCTGCCGGCTAGGGTGAGGCCTGGCTGATGCAGGCCTTCCGCCGAGCCCCGGGCCTCGTGCGCACCCAGGCCCGCACCCCGGCCTTCCCAGCGTCCCACCCGGCCCGCAC